TTATTGGTACGAAATGGGTGTTCCGTAACAAACTTGATGAAAATGGAATAATCACTAGAAACAAAGCTAGGCTCGTAGCTAAAGGCTACAATCAAGAAGAAGGCATTGATTTCGAAGAAACTTATGCACCTGTAGCACGTTTAGAAGCTATTCGTTTACTTCTTGCTTTTGCTTCGTCTATGGATTTTAAACTTTATCAAATGGATGTCAAGAGTGCCTTCCTCAATGGTTTTATTCAAGAGGAAGTGTATGTTGACCAGCCCCCGGGGTTTGAAGACTTTGAGTTTCCCGACCATGTCTTCAAACTCAAGAAAGCGCTCTACGGTGTTAAACAAGCACCCCGTGCTTGGTACGAACGTTTGAGTAAATTTCTTTTGGATAGTGGTTTCCAAAGGGGAAAGGTTGACACTACACTTTTTATCAAGAGTAAAAACAGCAACATCCTTTTGGTTCAAGTTTACGTAGACGATATTATATTCGGTGCTACTAACGAGTCTCTGTGCAAGGAATTCTCAACGCTAATGACAAGCGAATTTGAAATGTCCATGATGGGTGAGCTTACATTCTTTTTGGGACTCCAAGTCAAGCAAATGAAAGATGGCACGTTCATTTGCCAAACCAAATATTGCAAGGAGCTCCTGAAACGATTTGAAATAGACAATGCCAAAGCCATGGCGACCCCGATGAGTACGTCCGATCATCTAGACAAAGACGAAAAGGGTAAGGAAGTAGAAGTCAAAAAGTATCAAGGTATGATCGGATCCCTTCTCTACCTTACCGCTAGTAGGCCGGATATCATGTTTAGCGTATGCCTTTGCGCAAGGTATCAGTCATGTCCGAAGGAATCGCACTTTACCGCGGTGAAACGGATCATGAAATACCTTGTCGGAACGGTTAACGTTGGACTGTGGTATCCTAAAGGCTCTTCGTGTCATCTGGTTGGTTACTCCGACTCAGACTTTGCCGGTTGCAAATTGGACCGCAAGAAACAAGTCAGTGTTGCGTTATCCACAACCGAAGCGGAATACGTTGCCGCCGGTAGTTGTTGTGCTCAAACTCTTTGGATGAAGCAACAACTTGTGGACTATGGCCTTAGTATCAGTCACGTTCCACTTCGTTGTGACAATACTAGCGCCATAAGCTTGACGAAGAATCCCGTTCTTCATTTAAGGACGAAACACATTGACATTAGGCACCATTTCATTAGAGATCATGTTCTCAAAGGTGATATCGAAATTGAGTTTGTTGAAACACACAACCAATTAGCCGACATTTTCACAAAACCTTTAGAGAAAGAGTCGTTCTTCCGCATTCGTAGCGAACTCGGAATCCTCGACTCCACGATGATCTAATTTGTGCATTTTATCACTCTATTATCTTTGATTAAACGTTTACAAACTTGAGCATCGGAGGGTTTACTAATTTGTCCTTTATCCCATCGCTGGGTGTTTGACACTTTTTTAAAAAAAAGTTTTATCGGATTTCCAAAATCACAAACCCAGCGATGGGATGGTATTAACATCGCTAGGAAGGCTTTCGTCTTCTAACTTTCACTTTCCAGAATCCACCTTCCCATCGATGGGAGGATCAACACATCGCTGGGAAGGCAGTTCAATTTTCTCCTTTGCATTCCAGTGGCGACCTTCCCACCGATGGGAAGATCTACCCATCGCTGGGAAGGCTGGTGCATTTCAAAAATTCAGAGCCGTTGGGCACCACATTAATTGCCCAACAGCCATATTTTTGAATCCAAACGGCCAAATCTTCCCTTCCCTTTATATATTCACCATATTTGTTCATTCTAATACACCATTAACATCATAATTTTACTCCTTGATCCAAATCTCAATATTTCATCACTCTTCTTCATAAGCGTCTCAGCAATGGCCGGTGGAAAATCCAAGAGCAAGGCCTCCAAGAAGAAGACCGTCGCCGAGGCCACGAGCTCTGCGCCCCCGCAGTTTCCCTACCTGGACGGCTCGTTTCTTGAGTTCAGGACGGAGGAGGAACTCACCCGGTTTCTCTTGCACTTTGCCAAGCGTCCTATTTCTCCGCCCAAGGTGCTGCCCGAGTTATACCCTCAACAAAAGGGGTACCACGACCTTGACAATCAACTCAAGGAGTCGGGTTTGTGGCCCTTCGTCTCCAAGAGTCGCACTGCCTTCAATCCCGCCTATGTCCGGGCATTCTACTCCAATCTCCGCCGGGACGGGGACACCATTCGCAGTAGCATCAATCTCTACGACATAGAGATTGATTTGCCTACTTTTGCTCGGGTCGCAGGGCTGCCCATCCGCGGTGATGACATCGCGACATACGGTGGCGACGACTGGATCCTCAACAACGAGGCGGTCGTCATTCGCGAGCTTGGGATCACCAACTTAATCCGCCACAGCGGCGCGCCGACGATTCACTCGGCCCCACCGGACAAGCGCCTCCTCCTCTACATCATCACCCAGATTCTTCGCCCCCGGGATAGCAGCCATACCTCGCTCTTCAACGAGGACTTGAAGGCGATCCACGCCATCATCCACGGCGCCTCCATCAACTGGGCGAAATTTGTCATGATTCACATGGCGGATTGCGCCTCCATCGCAACCGAGAGGAGTTTGCCATACGCCTTTCTCGTCATGGATCTCATTGTTGCCTCCGACATCCACATCGCCGGCCCGGATACGAAGATGACGAAGATTTGGATCATCCAAGATAGCACCTTCCGGAAGAAGTCCGGAGACCAAGACGA